CCTCCTGGCGAGGCGAATATTTGCATGAAAGCTCCATACAAAAGAACACATCGCCAGATGTGCACGATCGACGCTGCCATCACCTCCGCCGTGCCTCCTCCCACGAGTCCACGAAAGTGGCCACAATGACGCACTTGTAGCCTCCCAAGGAGCCGCGAGGTCTCGGCTGGATCCGAGTGGCCCCCGACTCCACTGGACCTTCGAGGACAAGAGCTCGACGCGGCTTCAAGTCCGTTTCGGCTTCGGGCCCGTTTCGGCTTCGAGCCCGTTTCGGCTTCGGCCCGTTTCGGCCTCAGCCCGATTCGGCTTCGGCTCGTTTCGGCTCAGCTCGTTTCGGCTCCGCCTGTTTCGGCTTCGGCGCTATTCGGCTTCGGCTCCGCACGTTTCAACTTCAGCCGCTTTCGGTTTCGGTCCGTTTCGGCTTCCGGGCACGGGTGCGAGCGCGAACCTGAAAGCCAAAACGGGCCGAAGCCGAAACAAGCCGGAGCCGAAACGGGCCAAGACGAAACGGGCCAGAGCCGAAACGGGCCGGGACGAACTGGACCCGCAACGGGCTGGGATGAAGCAGGCCGAAGTCGAAAGGGGCTGCCACGAAACGGGTCAGAGCCGAAACGGGATTCGGGGCCCGTTTCGGTTCCAGCCCCTCGAATGGAGACGGGACGGGCTGGTGAGCCTCAACGGGGCTCGGGAGCTTGTGGAGGACGAGATGTCCCAAATCTTGTAATGGTCCTACCGATGGCCAGCTCCCGTATCCAGGAATTCACGAAACCAGATGAAAGTCAAAAGGAAAAACGATTCAACGAAATAAATGAAAACATATGTATTTCATTGCAAATCTAGCCCACCAAACGCTGGAATAGTGAGGCGGGTGGTCACCCGCAAAGCTCCAGATAGTTTCGCTATGGATATAGCGTGCACCAACTCAAATACACCTAAACGACCAGCATTCGGGTGTTGAGGAGGTTAGGGGAGGAAAAAACCAACTGACGACAACCGCGATGGCTGCGATGATGACGATGGTGGTGGCGCGCCCTCGAATTCGCGAAGACGCGTGCTGACGATGATGCGTCGCGATGTGACCCCCCAATCCATCCCACTCGATCGACCTCACCATCGATCGATCGCAATATCGTCCTCACGGCCAATCCCACTGTCGATAGATCCACCTATCGATCCTGCTATCGATCTCACAATGAGTGGATTTAGGTACGATCGGGATACCATCGAGACACCATCGAACCACCACCAGGACACCATCAGGAAACCAATCGGGACACCAATCGGGACACCATCGAAGCACCACTATCACTATCGATCTCACCATCGGACTCACTACCGATTTCACCATCGATCTCACCAGGAGACACTACGGGACACCTACGGGACACCCGCGGGACACCGACGGGGCACCGACGGGACACCCACTGGTATCAAAGTCGATCCCGTGGCCAGCGGTGCTGAAGTTGAAAACGGTTCGGCGCATAGGGTTCTCTGCGACCCCCCCAAAGTCTCCCGATGGAGACCACCAGAACACCGTCGAGACACCATCGAAACACCACCAGGACTCGATCAGGAAACCAATCGGCACACCAATCGGGAAACCATCGGAGCACCACCCTCACTATCGATCGCACTATCTGTCTCACTACCGATCTCACCATCGATCCCACCAAGAGACACCACGGGACACCTACGGGACACACACGGGACACCGACGGGACACCGACGGGACACGGACAGGACACCGCGGGACACCACCGGGACACAAATAGATCGCACCATCGATCTCACGATCGATCTCACTATCATCTCACCGCCGATCTCACCGCGGACACCGACGGGACGCCGACGGGACACCGACTGGAGACCGACGGGACACCCACGGAGCACCGACGGGACACCACGGGATACCGACAGGACACCAACGAAACACTGACGGAACACCACGGCGGAGCAACCCGGACACCGCCCGCCCACCGCGACGGGACACCGACTGGACAGCGACGGGACACCGAACACGGCGGGACACCCAGGCCACCGTCGGACTACTGGAGGAGGGGGGGAGGACTGGTCAACGGCTTTGGCCCGCCCTAGCCACAGCGGAGTCGTTCCTCTCGCCCGCTCACTCAGCTTCGCCTCGCCCGCAAGCAAGACACGAACTGGAAACCGAAACCGATGTCCCGGTGGGGGGCCCTCCGTTGCACGTCGATCTCACCCCCCAACCTCCGATTGTCTCCGGTGCGGCCCGTACTATTCAAATGTCAAGATACACTGACATCGCCCACGTCTTGCCGTACATAATGCTTCATGTCTGCCAATTCATCACAAATGTTCCAACGCCCGCCCGAAAGCCACTATCAAACGGACGCGGGCTTCTCCGGTGGAGAAACCACGCCAAGTCATACTTTCATACTGACCCGGAAAGCTCCAAGTACGGATGGCGTGAGCTCCTGTCGCGAACACAATAAGACGACAACAATGTCACCACCAACGGAGCTGGAGCCCCTTGGCGGTACCTCCGGCACCGCCTCATGCGCCACCCTAGGCGCACCCCCTGGCGCACTCCGCGCGCCAGGGTGCTCCAGCACCGATCCGAGAAATCCGCGCGAACATCCGCGTTCTTCAGTTTATGCCACTGTTCGTTCCCCAATAGATGATCGCCCTCCCATTGCTCAACACTCGAGCCGAAGATTTCCCAGGACCTTGGGCCGTCTTCGGCGGACTTCGGGCCGTGTGGAACGTTGAAAATCCTGAAGCGTGGAAGCCTTGGAACGCTTGGAACGTATCATTATCATGACCTCTTGTCCATCTGATCACATAGAGGCCTCCCAGATGGGGTCCGAAATACATGGGGTCAGCGGTACTCGGCGACGCCAGCTCGAAGAAAACGGGGCTCCACATCGAGCCGCATCGGCGCGATCCTCCAACCGCATCTACTGGGACCTCATCTGGGAGGCCTAAGACTACATGTCCACTGCTCCCTGGCCAAGCCCATCCTGAACCCAGCAGCGGTGTATGCGCCACACGTGTGTAGATTCCAGCGCCCAGTTCTCCACAACGTCGACCCCCAAAGGAATGGACCCCTTTTCCCGGGGACCCGTTTTTCAATCCCGCGTTGTTCTGACGCTCCCGAGGCTCGGTAAGGGCCCCCTGAGACCGCAAATAGGAGGGGAGGAAACAACAAGAAAAAAGACTCCCGTCGCGGCCGTCGCGCCTGTTTTCACGACGCCAGAGGGTCTGGGAGGGAACATGATCGACCACCTCACGAGCCGAAGACTTCCCGCGCGGACCTCCGCGGGAAAAGGGTAGGATAGCCAAGGGCAGGGTAGAGACCCAGCTCACGTAACTGGTTCTCTTGGCGCCTCCTGACGCCCAGGGGCGTCCATGTGTCAAGGAGTGGGCCTGGCGGCGAGGTCCATTGGATTACCTCCCTCTCCTTACCATCGAAAATCTACTGGCCCGGATCAATCCAAACCCGCGTCAGCCAGGCTCTGCAGGATTCTGCAAGATCCTGCAAGATCCTGTACCGAGGCCAGAGACAGTGCGACCCTGGCCCTGCAGAATCCTGCAAGATCCGGCGCTCTGGCTCACCCACGCTTGCATTGACCGCCGCCTCTTGAGCCCCAACAATGTATCGAGGAATGGGCCCGGCGGCGGCGCCGATCTCGTTACCACACTCTCTTTATCCTTAGGTCGGGCATGCCCCCCTACAGGCGGATTTTGGACGAAAAACAAAAAAGTATGAAACATATGCCAAAATGGTAATAAAAATCGGCACATCGGCCCGGACTATATCTTGACTATTTTTGAGTACTCCTCCTGTAGATCGGAAACTGGAACATATACATTACCAGTGGCGGGCTGTTCTTCAATCCCAGGACTTTTTCGAAGGTCGGGGACGACGTCGGGGTGGTGTGGTGTATACATGTTTCCCCGCTTTCCCAGGGAAACAACGAAAAATGTATACACCAGGATCCCGAAAGCACCAGAATCCACTCTCCTGTGCGAATCTCCGTGCGAGACACGAAAAAAGCATCGGTGTATAGAAAGCTCAATTCCCAAGCAGAGGGACGAGCCCAACTTTCGGCTACACGCAAGAGTGACCCTGGGTAAGAGTGACCTTTGGTGCGCGGCTTTTGGGGGGCCGCGGGGGGGCCAAACCTGGGCGAGCAAGCCGCTGCTCCTGCTTCGCTTTCGGCCATCTGGGGGCCCGTCTGTGCCCGCGCCAAAGGTCACTCCGGCGAAAGGTCACTCTTGCGTCTAGTCGAGACTTACCCCAGATTTCGTAATAAGGGAGGGGGGTCTCATTTCGGGGGGGGTCTCTTCCAGGCTATCTTGGAGGGCCTGGGGGGGTCTGGGGACGATGTTTTGGAAGGTTCTCCCACGGGGGGGGGGGTCTGAAATGGCTCGTCTTGGAGGGTCCAGACCCCCTCCCTTTTATTACGAAATCTGGAGTACTCCTACTCCTCCTTCTCGTCCCCATCATCCTCATCCTCCTCGTCGGCTGGTCGGCCGGCCAGCGAGCAGCAGCCGGAGTCCGCACCCCGTGCTCCAGAGCTACACGGCGAAAGAGAGGGTGAGGTTCAGTGCCACAGGGAAACGAGAGGATGCGCAGCCAACAAGCCTATACGGCAGCCAACAGCCAAGATGTGAGGTCCAGACCCCCTCCCTTTTATCACGAAATCTGGAGTACCCTTTCTCCCCCCCGGCGCCCGGCCCGGGAGCCGCCGCGCGGCCCCCGCGGGCGCCCTGCGGGGGGGCGACGGCGACGACGACGACGACGACGGCGACAACGGCCACGACGGCGACGACGACGGCGGCGACGACGACGACGGAGACGACGACGACGCAAACGCGACGACGACGACGACGACGACGACGACGACGACGGCGACAACAACGACGACGACGACGACGACGACGACGACGACGGCGACGGCGACGGCGACGACGACGACGACGACGGCGCCCTGCGGGGGGGGGGCGGGCCAGCGGGCCGCCTGTCCTCGAGCTCGCCGCTGCCGGCCTGCTTCCTGCGGAGGCGGGCGGGGGGCGCCCCGAGCCGTCCTCGCAGCCGAGGTCGACGACGACGACGGCGACGGCGACGACGACGGCGGCGACGACGCCGACGACGACGACGACGACGACGACGGCCACGACGGCGACGACGACGACGACGACGGCGGCGACGACGCCGACGGCGACGACGACGACGGCGGCGACGACAACGACGACGGACACGACGGCGACAACGACGACGGCGACGACGGCGACGACGACGGCGGCGGCGACGCAAACGCGACGACGACGACGACGACGACGACGGAGACGACGACGACGCAAACGCGACGACGACGACGCAAACGCGACGACGACGACGACGACGCAAACGCGACGACGACGACGACGACGACGACGACGACGACGACGACGACGACGACGACGACGACGACGACGACGACGACGGCGAGCCCGCCTGAGGCCGTCGCCGCTCTCACAGTCGAGGTCCACTGGAGAGGACCCGCGAGAGGGCCCCCGAGGCCCACGGGGGGGACCCCCGGGCGCCCCCGAGATCCTGGAGCCCCGGGGGGGGGGGTCTCGTGGGGAGGCCCCCGAGGGCCCCTGGGGCCCCTGGGGGGGCCCGTGGGGAGATCCTGGGGAGGCCCCCGAGGGCCCCTGGGGCCCATGGGGGGGCTCGTGGCTCGTGGGGAGGCCCCTGGGCGACCCCGAGATCCTGGGGCCCCTGCCGCCCCCGGCGGACGGCCTCGTGGCGGAGAGCCCGGCCCGGAGGCTCCACCGGAGACCCTCCTACAGGGGAGCACCTGCGAGCCCTGCCCCGCTGCCCCCCCCCACGACCTCTGAGGGTGAGGCTGGGGCTCGCTTCGCTCGGGAGCTCCTGGACGAAGGGACCCCCCACCCCCCGACTAAAAAAACCGCCCCTTCCTGAAAACGGCCCGGCACCGAGACCGACGGGCCCGGGCCCGCAACAAAAGGACGGCCGAGACGCCCTCTCGCGAACCGAGAACGGCCAAGTCCTCGACCGAGGCGTCAGGGTACTCCAGATTCCGTAATAAAGGCAGGGGGGTCTCATTTCGGGGGGGGTCTCTTCCAGGCTATCTTGGAGGGCCTGGGGGGGTCTGGGGGCGATGTTTTGGGAGGGTTCTCCCACCGGGGGAGGCCTGACATGGCTCGTCTTGGAGGGTCCAGACCCCCTCCCTTTTATCACGAAATCTGGAGCAGGAGGTCCATCAGGCGGAGGAGGCGGAGGAGGAGGCGGAGGAGGAGGAGGAGAAGGAGGTGGAGGAGGAGGAGGAGAGGAGGAGGAGGAGGAGGAGGAGGAGGAGGAGGAGGAGGACCCCCGAGGGCAGGGCTCGCGCGTGGCCCCCCTCGGCCTCCGCCGCGGGCAGGCCCCCGGTGGGGGGGCAGGCACCCGCCGAGGGCCGCGCTGCCACCGGGCGGCAGAACGCACGGGCCGCGCCGCCCGCCGACGGAGCCGCCCGCCTCCGACGGCGCCCGCCTTGGGACGGCGGCGACGGCGACGGCGACGACGACGACGACGACGACGACGGCGACGACGACGACGACGACGACGGGGGCGACGACGACGACGGCGACGACGACGACGACGACGACGGGGGAGCAAAAAAAGAGCGCCCAGGACACGCCGCAAGTCACCAGCGTCTTCCTGCTGAGGAGGCAGGGGGGCAAGCCACGGCATCGACCAGGGTCCATCCGCAACGCCTGCAACCGGCTCATCGAGCCCGCAGCGCTTTTGTGAGGCCTGGAGGTGCGGAGTCAGGACAGAGCAGATTGGGTGCGGAGGATGGAGAGAAAAAGAGAAAGAGAGAGAGGGCGGGCGGGCAGCGATCTGAATGGTCAAAACGTGACCAGGGAGAGGTCTGGGGTGCAGCGGTGTCCCCGCAATCACGCATGACTTGTGTCTAAAAGCATGGCCTCCCTTTTCCGAAGATCTGCGACACGCCAAGCACGAGCCGCCGTGACACGCTTGAATTACGATGAAGACTCATATATACGTTTACGACACGCCTAACACGAGCCGAATCCAACAAACTAAAGCTTTACCATTGCTTGAAAAACGCACCATACGTGCGACTGATAGCAGCGAAATTTGGACTCCGGCTAGTTATGATCAGAATCTCGTGGCGAATCCGGCAGTTGCGACGAGCGACAGGGTAGCCGCATCGCCACAGCTTCCTCTTGCGATGGCTGGCGTCCTCTAGATTCACCAGAAGTTCCCCCTCCAGGAGGCCGCCAGCTCACGCGTCCGCCTCGCACCCCCACCCCTCCCCCTCCTCTTCCGCCCGCCTCGCGCGCGAGGTCCTCCAGACGGGCTTGCCGTTCGCGACGTCGTCCGTGAGAACGTACCTCCCCTCCGCCCCCAGCTCCGCGCAGGGCGCGCACGGAGGAGCAGGCCTGGGCACTGGAGGCTGCCCGAGGCGGGCACGCGCGGGCAGGCAGCGCCGGGGTCCGCGTGGACCTGGCGCGGTGGCGCCGGGTGTCCGCACGTCTGGGAGCGCCGTCCCCGAGGCACGGCGCCGGGGCCGCCCGGGCCGCGGCGGAGCTCCCCGACTCGAGGATCCTGAGAACGGGGCCCGTCGGCCTCTAGAAGACGAGACAGCAAGGAACACCAGAACCAGAAGCTGCTGGCGCTCCGCATGTACTTCTGGGATCCGCGCTGGATCCCCCGCGCGCGGAGCGCGCCAGGGGCGGCGCCGGCGGCGCCGCCGCGCCAGTCCTTGCACGCGCCTGGATCCTGCGCCTCCTCGCCCGAAGGCCCCGTCCAGCGCAGGACCCCGCAGGGCCCATCGCGGCCCTCAGGGCCTCGCATGACACGCTGGGCCCGAGTTCTTTGCAGCGCGGGCTCGGACGGGTGGACCCAGACAGCAAACAGAAAGCAAGTGTTGAGTCCTGGAAGAATATTCAGCCAGCACATGAAGAAGAGCGCGGAGCAGACAAACGAGCAATAACCACGGGGGGTCGAAGCTCCCTGGCCAGGTGTACTCCACACCCTGCTCATCCACCATTCCTCCACCACCCACCTCCTCTTGGTCCCCTTCTTCCCACACCTCCTCCTCCCCCTCCTCCTCCTCCTCCTCCTCCTCCTCCTCCTCCTCCTCCTCCTCCTCTTCCCCATTCCTCCTGTTCCTGATCCTGCTCCTTCTCCTCCTCCTCCTCCTCCTCCTCCTCCTCCTCACCCGATTCTTCCGTAGCCAGTGTGGCTCAAGTCGGCTTGGCGAAAGCTCGCCTCGCGAGGCCGCGCCGCATGCGCCTGCCGCACCGACGCCGGGACGCCCGCGTCAGAGGCGGCCTCGTGGTCGTGCACGGCCTGCGGTTCGACTTGCTGTAGACGAGCGCGTTCCACTACTCGCAGAGGAGCTACTCGCAAACGGCCCTGACCCACCGCGCGGGACCTGCGATACACGAATTGCATCGAGGAAGGCGCGTGTTTTTTCTCGGACGTTTGCGAGCAGGCATCCTGCGAGTCGTGGCACGCGCTCGGTGCTGCCCGGCGCTCGCCCACCGCCGTCGGCGCTGCTTTGGACGTGGCTTAATGGGGGGGTCACAAATGAGGGGGGTCAGAAAAGGTCCCCTTTCGTGCCCCTCTCGGGCCCCTCCAGAGCCCCAGGGGGCTCGTTTAGGCACCGTCTGGGTACCTTTTCGGACCACCCTCGCCACCCCCCCCATTTATGACCCTCCCCATTGCGCGGCGCCCAACTGCTGGGCGCGTTCGCGCTGCGGGTGGCCACCGCGCCGTGCGCGCCGGCCGCTGGCCGGGGCGCTCGCGCGGCGCGGGGGCAGCGGGCTACGCGCCGCGGGGGCAGCAGCCCGGGGCCCGCGTGCGGGGCGGCGCGTTCGCGGAGGGGCTGCGCTGATAGCTCGGGCACGTCTTGGTGGTCTCCAAACCGGGTGGTGAGACACCCGGTGGTGACCCCGTTTCCCGAAAGAACTAATTCTGGGTCACCACCGGGTTCGGGGACACGCGGTCGCCACGAGGTTTTGCGTTCCCTGGGCCAGCCAGCGCTCGAAAACCATTACCCAAATCGCCCAAAGCTCACCACCGGGTGTTCTCACCACCACGTTTGGGGACCACCAAACGTCCTCCTGCGGGCGGATTCTGGAAGAAGGCTGGAGCGAACAGTCAAGCACAGACTCGGAGACAGGCAGGAGAAGAGCAGAGAAATCGTCCCCAGGCTATGTCTAGCTGTCCTTGAGGAAGAGGAGGAGGAGGAGGAGGAGGAGGAGGAGGAGGAGGAGGAGGAGGAAGAAGAAGAAGAAGACTCGGCCTTGCGCGTGGTCTGTGCCGATCCCTGACCGCGCGTGAACCCGTGCAATCAGAGCCCTACCTCGAACGATCATCGAGCGAGTGCGATGAGGTCGTGAGTAGCGCGCGCCGTGCAGCCTGTCGTACGTGCTCGTACCCAGGCAGTCGCAAATCGTGAGACCCCTCGAGGGCTGGGGGGGACACCCCACTGGCCTCCCAGTGCCGAGCCCACGTCGCTGCGGGCGACGGGCAGGCCTCCGAGGCACCCGCCCCGCCCCGAGGAGGGACCCACACTCCAGCAAAGCGACGGACGAAAGGGGAACGACGCGGAAGAGAGGACGACGAGGCGAGAGGGCGAGGCCAAAGCAGGAGAAGAGCAGAGGAAGCAGCGGAGGGGAGTGTGGGTCCCCGAATTCTGGAAGATAGCCACTCCGAGGAAGAGGTGGGGAGAAAAGGCGGCTCGGCGCAGCCTAGAGGGGCGGGGCCTCGGACATCGAGGTCACGCGGCAGGCAGGTACTCGGTGGTGGCCAGCGCGGGCGTGCACACAAAGCCGTGGGGACGAACTTGGCGGAGACCCGCGTGAAGTTCGACAGGTGGTGTCGGGCCCGATCCCGTAGGGACAAAGCCTCGAATACACCACATAACATCATCAAAGAAAGAAAAAGAGCGCGCTGACGCCAGAGTCGAGCGGTGCGCTCAGAAGAGAGGAAACCTACAGTGCAGCAAAGAGGCGTGGCGACGAGCGGAATCGCGAGGCATCGCGACCGTCTGAATATTAATTGACCCAGCCGTCTAGGTCGTCAGCATCAGGTACGTGGATTCGAGGAGGACGTATGGAACAGCACGTCAGCGTATGTAATGTCATGTATCTGTAGAAGAGTGGGTGTCCATCTGAGCCAACTGTGAGCCGTCAAGTAAGACGAGGGGTTCCGTCTCATAGACTTGAAGCACGAGTCGGCGGGAGTCCAAAAAACCTCAAATCCTCCGGTACACAACGCTCCTTCGGAAAGATAGTTCGTGAACTCAGAATATGGAGGTGCTGTCCAAAGTCCGTCATGTAGTGTCATTTAGCGAGAGTTCCCGTGCTCTGATGCGTGCAAAGATGGCAGCCCGACGAGCCTCCCACGGAGCGGGGCCCGAATCTGGCTGACTTACTTCGCGCCCTTGCCCTTGCCCTTTTGCTTCGTCTTGTCGAGGATGCGCTGCGCCATGGTCTCCAAGTGCCCCTGAGGGGCGGTCCCGAGCTTGAGCTTCGCGTCCTCCAGCTGAGCTAGCTTGATGATCGACTGCTCCACCTCCAGCTTGCTCAGATGACGCTCGGGCGACCCCTCTTGAGCGTCCGCCAGCTGCACCGTGACGTCCCCGCCGATCGCGAACTGCAGTCGGGTGTACTCCTCGTTGTAGCACTTCTTCAGACGGAAGTGCCTGATCACTAATCCTAGCTCCGCAGCCGAGCTGATCGACACGAACTTCTCGTAAAAAAGGACCAGGGTTTGGTACGCCTGAGTCCCCGACTTCTGTAGCTTCTCTGATTCGACCATCGACTTGAACACGCCGCGCGCTATGTACAAATGTGGTGGCCCCAGATGGGGCTTCGCTGCCGCGATGGCTGCCGCCTCCGCGTACATTTTGCCTGCGCCTCGCCCTGCGACCACCAGGAAGCTCAGCGTCGGGATGACGAGGCACACCCACTCCGACGCCGCCAAGTCCCTCAGCAGCTGCGCGTGCATGCACGCCATCTTGAGCAATATCGATATGGCCTGCTGCATGTCTCGAGCCCGAAGGGCCCCCTCGACCTGCTGAAGACCGTCTTCTGCCTCGTCTGCTGCGTCCCCGAGGTTGGCCTTTTTTCCCGAGGGTGCTCCTCCGAGGTCCTCGCCGTCGCCTGGCTTGCGCTTGTGCTTCTTGATCAGCAGCTCCAGGTCCATGGACGCCGCGTCTGGTTGCGACATGCCGCGGTCGAAGCCGAGGCCGAGGGAGAGTAGGAGCACCCAGGGCACAGTGTGTGCGTATGTGTAACTGAAGTTGTCGGAGATCTTGAGCCGTGAAGCTGCATACGGGGCAATCGAGTGAGAAAGGTTGAACAACTTCTGCCGCCGTGTAGCTACTGCGTCCTAGAGCGCAGCGATTGTGGGCATAAGATCTCATAACATGTCGCTGAGCATTCTCCCGAGTACTGAGAACCTGGAGGCACCGAAAACACTGGTTCGTGACCGTGAGAAGTGCTGCCTCGTTTCGAACTTTGTGAACTCTGCCTGCGTGCAATAAAAGAGCCTTCATGCTGGTGAAAGTGTCGCCACACCGCTGCCCCTCTGAGTTCTTCAGATTGCAGACGAACTCGCCAGGGGCGTCCACCTCCTCCTCCACCTCCTCATTCATCACGATACTCGGGGCCACCGAGGGCCCGCTAGGTGGAGCGATCGCTTTAGAAAAGTAGGTGGCCCTGATAACTGTGAGGTCAATCGAGGCCCAGTCGTCGAAATCGTTAGTGTAAAATAGACCCAAGAGAGGAAAATCTTCTGGAATTAAATCAGCGAGCTCCTCAGACTGGCCTCTGGCAAACTGGAGGTCCTCAAGTACCTGACGAGCCCAGGGGTTAGCCTTTTCGTGGATCGTCCAGTCGTCGTTCATGCTAGGTATGTCATTGATCGTGCCTAGTATGCATGCCCGAACCTGCCTGTGGGCGCTAGGGTGTTTAATCCAAGACTGATACCAACGTAGCCTACGAAGTCGCAGTTCGTCTGCCAAAGGAAGGATCTGCCAGTAGGCCCATACCCTCTGAGCGCTCCACCTCCAGCGCTCCCCGTCGTGGTCCTCGTGGAGGAGGAGGAGGAGGAGGAGGAGGAGGAGTGAGGCTGCGCGTGCCCGCGGAGGGGCGTGGCGCGGCAGCACGCGCCCAGGCTTCGGCCGTGGCGGACCGCGCGCCGCACGCGTCGTCGCCGGGCGCAGGCTCGCCCGGCCCGGCCCGCGCGCGGCGGCGCTGCCGGGCCGGGGCGCCTGCCAAGGGCGGGCCCCGTCGGCACGAGGCAGCTCGCCGCGAGGCGAGCTCGTGGAGCTCGTGTCGACGGCGGCGGCCGTCCTGGAAGACCTGGTCTGTGGACCCCGCCGGCGCGCGCGAGGGGGGGAGTTCGGGGCCCGTCGTCCTGGGGCAGTCCCCGGAAACGCTCGTTGGGTCGAAACTCGTCGTGTGGATGCCACGACACTGGACACTCTAACAATCCTATCACTGAATTGCAGATGTGTTTGAAATGTCGGACAAATGTTCTAAGCATGCTGTAAGCATGCTGTTTTTACAAGTTCAAAACATGCTCAACACATGTTTTATGACTACCTACCAGACCACCCCAACCCAATCCGAAGACCCGAATGACCCGAATTCCGAATTCCGGGTAAGGGGGGGTACGGGCTCCATGTGATTGTTCAACCTTCCCCGACCCCCCCCTCCCACTGGAAACAGGGAGCACGTTGAGGCCTCTGGGTCGGGCTGGGGTGGTTTGGCAGGTGGTGAAATAAAAACACAAATATCTGGAAATGACTTGGCGACACGCTTCCCCTCCGTGGATCGACTTCCACAAGACTTGTCCCGCTTTCCCGGCGGCCACCTCGCGTCCTCCAACCTCGCCAGGCCGAGGCGCATCGCGCCCTGCCGCAATCCACTCGAAGGGACGCCCCCTCCGTCGGCCAGTCGCTCGGACGTCCATTCCCTGTGTTTTTTGTCGGTTTCGTGCGTTGCTTTGTTCCCAGGATGGTCCAGGACGCTCCTTAACAATCCCCGCCGAGCAACAGTGCACACGTCCGAGCGATACCAAGCTTCCGTCGGGGATCTGCTGACCCAGGTCAGTCCAGACCCGGGTCCTGTCAGGCCTTGCGGAAGCCTGCAAGATCCTGCAGGATCCTGCACCGAAACCCGGGCCAATGCGAAGGATCCTGCGGGGCCATGCACCCAACCCGGGTCAATGCGACCATGGCCCTGCAGGATCCCGCAGAATCCAGCGCTCTGGCTGACCCCGTCGGCACTGACCCCCGCCGCTTGAGCCCCGACTCCCTCTGACTCATTGCCCGCCGGGGAAAGGGGGCGGCCCACGGGGTCCTTGGGGGGTGTCCAGAGGGGGTCCAGAGGGGCAGCCCCCCCCCCTGGAGAAGCGTTGGAGAAGCGTTACCCTTCCCCTTTGGGGTAGTTTCGGGCCAGGTTGGCCCTCCTTCGGCAGATGAGGCCCAAAACTCCCAAGATGGCTCCAAGACGGCTCGAGAGGCCCCAGAGACGGCCGAAGCTGGCCCCATGAGGACCCCCACGAGGGCCCCAAGAGACAAAACATCAATGAGTTCTGTAAATGTTATTTGATTGTAGCTCTCTCGCCTGTTTGGTTTTCCAACGCTCCAAAATACTCCACGAGGCCCGCAAGATCGCCCCAAGACGGCTCAAGCGTCCCCAAAGAGGGATCCAAGATGGCTCAAGAGAGCCCAGGAACCCTCCAGGAGACGCGAACTGACATTCCGAGCCCTCCGCGCCAAGATGACCTCCGAGACCACCCAGTAGGCCCCCAAGGGCTCCCAGAGGCTCCAAGAGGCCACTAAGAGGCCTCTAAGAGACCTCCAGGAGGTCCCAAGGCTCCCAAGAGGCTCTCAAGAGCGTTCTAAGAGGGGTCCGGGAGACCTCCGAGAGGCACCCAAAGAGACCCTTGCATGCATTGAAGAGGTCGCTGACTGATCCACCACCTAGGCACCGCGACAGATGGACCGAAGGCCACTAGATAGAGGTAGCACGGTGTTCTGGTTCTGCGCTAGTCTCGAGGTGCCCTTCAAGCCGTTCTAGATTAATCGTCGGCATGCGTCCATACGTTCCTCGGCTCCCTCGCGGCCTTCCTGGGACGTCCTCATCCCCATTCAGGGTCGGCGGAACTGGCCGTAGAGCCTCTTCAACCATACTCGGGATGTGGAGAAGCATCAAGCGATTCTTGGCATGACCACGATGTTCGCACATGCATAGCAAACAAGCACACCTGAACCCGCGTCATGCAATGCGCAAGTAGTGGTTCCCTCGCGCGAGGTACGTTGTACTCACCACGTACACTACTCTGCACGTGATATGCAGAGCTGGAGAATCATTCACATGTGTGGACAGTTATGAAAGCTGCACGATAGCCATATGCACGTGCGTGCGGAATGCATCCATGCAGGGATGACGCCATACTAGCAGGCTGCGAATATCCACAACGGAATCAGGATGTAAATGACACAGGACGGCATAAACATAAAACTGTCGGAGGTCCGCGAGGATGTCTTCGATCGGCGCTGCAAGCGCCGCCAGGGGGCCCAGCACCGATCCCAAAAATCTGCGCGGCTTTCCGAAAAGTTGTGTTCATTATATTTGTTTCTCATTCGACTCATGTCGTGAACCGCACAGTCAGGAAAGATACCCGCAAACAGGACCGGAATGATGTCATGATGCGATTGGCTCAGGATACGTCCCTGGAATTCCAGAGTAATGTCTAAAAACAGCTTAGAAAACCAAGATGGGGGGACAGTTACAGAAATGTATTTCCCATCGCTGTATTGCGCATATAGAAAACAAGAGGAAGGCGGAGCAAACCGGACCGCCGGGGACGCCCCCGCGACCGCCGAAACCGCGCGAGAAAAACCAATTGTAAATTTGGGATTCTGGGGGGCAAGATCATCCCCGAGACCGCGTGTGAAAAACCAACTGTACAGTTCGGGTTCTGGGAGCCAGCATAAGGCCATTCAGCTTCGCAAGAGAAGGTGACACATATCACCCCCGAAACCACGCGGAAAAAAACAACTGACAATTCCGGATTTCCGGGGCTTGCATAAGGCCATTCAGCCACCAAAAACAAGTGGCACGCGCAACCCCCGAAACCGCGCGAGAATAAACCAATTGATCTGGATTCTGGGAGCCAACATAAGGCCATTCAACCTCACAACAAACACGGGTGGCACGTGTCTCCCCCGAAACCGTATGAGAAAAACAAATTGTACACTAAAATGTGCGATGATGTGAGCCATCAGAAGGCCATTCATATTCAAATAAATCCAACAGGCGACACGTGTCACCCCCAAAACCGCGAAAGAAAAGCCAAGTGAAGCAATTTTTACTTTGGTGTTCCGGGAGCCAGCATAAAGCCATTCAGTTTCACGAAAAAACAGCGAGAGGCCGTATGTTGCCTCCCAGGATCCCAAATATACAAATGCTCGTTCTTTTCAATTTTGAAAATGTATACATATATAGTTATACAAACATAGATGTGTGCATGTACCAATCGCATCGTTCGGTCCACGTGGAATACGTGTCCAGGGGGGACAATTAAAACATAGATCTTCGGCAACGAATTCATGGCAGTCGGGATCTGGGGGGGGAGGGGGCGGGTCATTATATCCTTAACAGGTTTGAGCTATTATCGGGCGGCCCTTGTTTCTGCAGCCTTTTGGAACATCAGGAGATCTGGAAGACCCCAAATCTAAGAAATCTTGGAACCTATCGTTCTGATGACCTCTTGCTCCTCTGAACAAATGCCAGCTCGACCCAGCCGGATCAAGCAGCAAGCCCGCCCCCCATCTGTCCACCCCATTTAGCTTCGAAAGAGAACTTATCTAGACCTCAGTTCGAGAGGACGGGCGGAGGATGAAGTCCTCAAGGGCATATTCTTCTCCATCTGATTCGACTCATGTCGTGCACCCGACAGTCTGGAAATCAAGGCTCTGCACGGCGACAGCAAAACCGAAAACGGACCGAACCGACAGCGAAACCGAAACCGACCGAAGTCGACAGGCCGAGGGCAGCCAATCAGGGCGCAGCGATGCGGCAACGGCACCATAACCGACCGAACCAAGCCGACCGAACCGCAAACACCCTTCGGGGATCTTCTGACCCGGGTCAATCCAAACCTGGGTCAATCAGGCCTTCCAAGATCCTGCCCGATCCTGCCAAATCCTGCCGGATCCTGCAAGATCCTGCACCCAAACACGGGGTGATGCGACCCTGGCCCTGCAGGATGCTGCAAGGTCTGGCGATCTGGCTGCCAACGTTTGCACTGACCTCCGTCTCTTGAGCCCCTATACTCTGGAACGACACCTGCAAAAATGCCCGCTCGAGCCAGTCCCCGACGCCAGCACGGCGAGCCCGCCCCAGCCCCACCCCCCCTGCGAAGGCCTGCCGGCGCACTTTGGCTGGCCGTTGGGCGACTGCACGATCACCGCCTCTCGGGCGGGTGGCAATGGGGGGTCGACGCAAATGGGGGACAAGGAAAGGGCCGTAAAGGATCCCCTTAGGGTTACGTAGCACCCCGCAGATGCGGATAAGAGTGAGGGGGCGGTGGGGACGTCGGCAGTCTGCGATACTCTGGAGAAGCCCGCCGCAGGCGCCAAAGTTTCACAAATCATACGTAGCTCCCCGCAGATGTGGATAAGAATGAGGGGGCGGTTTGGATGTCGGCAGTTTGTGCGACTCTGGAGAAGGCCGCCGCAGGCGCCAGTTCCACAAATCATACAACGAGCCCGCCGCAGGCGCCGATTCTTTTGTTCAACCAATGTGGGTAGGTCGCGGGTGGGTCGCGGGTGGGTCGCTGTTGGGTCGCGGGTGTAGAAGGCACCAAATCCACCCCATAAGAATCACCCCGACAAGCGGAGCCGTTAGTAAACGCACACAAGGAATGAATCGAACAAGGCAGGGCTGTTTAGTCAACGCCAAGGGCTGTTTAGTAAACGTCAACTGTCGGGTCCGGGTGGTTTTTCCTCCCTTGAAGGTGGGTCGCTGGGTGGGTCGCGGGTGGGTCGCCGGGTGGGCGACGGGTGGGCCGCGGGTGGGTCGCGGATGGGTCGCGGGGTGGGTCGCGGGTGGATCGCGGGGTAGGTCGCGGGTGGGTCGCGGGTGGGCCGCGGGGTGGGTCGCGGGTGGGTCGCGGGGTGGGTCGCGGGTGGGTCGCGGGTTGGGTCGCGGTGGGTCGCGGGGTGGGTCGCGGGGTGAGTCGCGGGGTGGATCGCGGGGTGGGTCGCGGGGTGGGTCGCGGGTGGGTCGCGGTTGGGACGACGACAACCAAAAACAGCAGCAACAACAACAACAATAATACAATCATTCCAAGACTGTTCGCTCCTACCGGCCCGCGTGTCATTCAATACGCATACCCCAAACCCTGGATACCCGCCCTCTTCGTCTTTGATCGTACCCCATTTATGGGGGGTTAGATACCTTCCTGGCCACGTGCAAGTGGAGAAGCCCCTAAACAGGAAAACGAAAAGACGTGCGAGGGAGAGGGAATCGGAAAGAGGTGGGAGGCGGCCCAGGAGGAGGAAGGAGCGGGAAGATAAGAGTGCGAACGTTCGAAAAAGTCCTAAGCGAAAGCGCCATTCCACAAAAAAGTTTCGGGCGGCAGCCCACGACGGGCGGGCGATCCTCTGACGGGCGGGTCGGGCAGGAGGGAAATTCAACCGGGATGCCTGAGTAGGGCGAGAGCGCGATTCCTAACTAAAGTGTGACGGCGTCTTTGGCGCGAGCGGGCTGTCTGAGCGTAGATGGCGCGAGTTCTAAATAAACTGCGAAAAAACAGCAGGCGAGAGCGCAATTCCTGAGAAGAGGAAGTCTGGCGGGAGCGGGGGCCGAGACGAAAGCGCAAGGAAATCTTAAGCGGGAGCGCCCTTTCTTGAGTACATTGTGTAGAAGCCTCAGACGGGAAGGGGGTCCTGACTAGATTGCGAAGAAGTCACTCGCGGGAGCGCCGATCCTGAGTGAATTGGATGGAAGTCTCAGGCGCGAGCGGGGGTCGAGTAAAATTGGAGGAAGGCTCAAACGGGAACCGTTGTCGTTGTAGTCCGGGGGAGCAACAACGCACTTTGACCCGGACTGAATTGCGCGGAAGTCTCAAGCGGGAGCGCCATTCCTGCGCAAATTCAGAAGAGTTCTCAAAGGGGAAGGGGGGGGCCTGAGTAAATTTGGAGGAAGTCGCTGGCGGGAGCCGTTGTTGTTGCAGTCCAAGGGGCCAGGGGCACTGTTTGACCAGGAAGACTTCCCCTGTCAAAAAACAAAATGCGAGCGTCGATGGGGCCCACTTTGACTGAGAACAAACAATATGCACCGGTGAGGGGGATCAATAATGATAACCATTCTGCAGAAGTGAGAATTCAACAAGTGCAACAACAACAATCATTATAAGACTAATCGCTCTTACCTGCCCGCGTGTCATTCAAAACGAGTCCCCCACACCCTCGATACCCGCCTCTTTGTCTTCGAACACATCCCCTTCGGGGGGGATTTTTCTCTTTGCGGGGGGCGGCGGGCTTAGACAGGCGGGCAGACCTGAACGAGCGGACAATCCGTCGTGGGCGTACATGTGCTCGCCATTGGAATTGGTGTGGGCCCTGCAAAAAAGAGGAGGGGGAGAGAGGAGAGGGAGAATGAGGGAAAGCGGGAGGATGGGAGGGAGAGGGACGAAGGAAGAGGGAAAACGCCAGGAGGGAAGGAGCGAAGAGGGGGTCGGTTGATTAGAGGCAGAGAGAGAGAGAGAGAAAATGAAAAAAACAAAGATGAGAGAGGTAGAGAAAGAGAGAAAGAGAGGGGGGAGAGAGAGAGAGAGAGAAAAAAAGAGAGAGAGAGAGAGAGAGAGAAAAAAAAAAAAAAGATAGAGGGGGGAGAAGGCCAGCGAGGGGAGGGAGAAGGGAGAAGGGAGAGGAGGGAGAGGAGATAGGGCAGAGAGGCATAAGGATAAGGGAAGAGAGGAGGGAGCGAGAAGGGAGGAGAGGAAGGAGGAGGGAGGAGGGAAAGGGAGGAGGAGCAGGAAGGTAAAAGCGTGAACGTTGGAGGAAGTCCTAAGCGAAAACGCCGTTCCTGAAGGAAGTCTCGGGCGGGAGCCCACGACGGGCGGGCGATCCCCTGACGGGCGGGTCGGGCGGGTGGGACATTCAAGCGGGATGCCTGAATATGGCGAGAGCGCAATTACTAAGTAAATTGTGAAGGCGTCCTTGGCGCAGCGTGTTTCCTGAGCGTCGAAAGGCGCGATTTCTGAATAAATTGCATGGAAGTCACAAGCGAGAGCGCAATTCCTGAATAAAATGTGAGGGGTTCTCTGGCGGGAGCGGGGGTCTTTTGCGAGGAAGTCTTGATTCAATTTCGAGGAAGTCTCAAGCGGGAGCGCCATTCTTGAGTTAATTGCGAGGCAGCAAATGGGAGCGGGGGTCCTGACTAAATTGCTAGGGAGTGATAGGCGGGAGCACCGATCCTCAGTAAATTGTGAGGAAGTCTCCGGAGCGGGAGTCCTGAGCCAATTTGGGGGAAGTCTCAAGCGGGAGACGTTGTTGCTGTAATCTGGGGGGCCAGGGGCCCGGTATGAGTACCAAGACTTTCCTTGTCAAAAAACCAGGTACGAGCGTCGAGGGGCATACTTTGATTGAGAAAACAGCATGCGCCCGTGAGGGGGGATCAACAATAATTATTCTTCAGAAGTGAGAGTTCAACAACATAAACAACAACAACAACAACAACAACAACAACAACAACAACAACAACAACAACAGCAGCAGCAGCAGCAGCAGCAGCAGCAGCACCAACAACAACAACAACAACAACAACAACAACAACAACAACAACAACAACATCTGCTCGAGTGTCCAACGACGCGTACTTCCCAAACCCTCGGTACCCGCCCTCCTCGTCTTCGATCGAACCCCTTTTTGGGGGTATACCTTTCTTCGGGCCCTGGCAGGCGGTAGGGCGGCCGCGGACCGTCGGCCTGGCCAGCGGCAGCGCTGATCGCCGGGGCGGCCGCGGACCGTCGACCCGACCCCAGGAGGGACGGACAGGGGACCAACCACGACGACGACGACGACAACGTCGACGACGACGGCGACGACGACGGCGACGACGGCGACGACGACGACAAGCGAAAGCGAGAGCGAGCGAGAACGACAGCAGGGCCACGAAGGACACGAAGTAGGCCACGAAGGGCGACATCGGGGACACGAAGGGAATGCGTATGGGGCCACGAGGAGCGCGAACGAGCGGGGGCCACGAAGGGCAGATAATGCGGGGCCACAGAGGGCAACGATGGGGCCACTGAGGGTAGCAACTGGGCCACGTAGGACAGAGGGGGCCACAAACGGCGAAAGCGGGGCCACGAAGGGCATGCACATGGGGCCACAACGGGCGCAACCGAGCGGGGGCCACGAAGGGCATACGTATGTTGGGCCGCGGAGGACAAGGACGGGGCAACTGAGGGCAGCAACGGGGCCACGAAGGGCAGCGAGGGGGCCACGAAGGGCGACAGAGGGGCCACGAAGGGCATGCATATGGGGCCACCACGGGCGCGAACGAGCGGGGGCCACGAAGGGCATAAACAATAGGGCCACGAAGGGCAGCGAGGGGGCCACGAAGGGCTGCAACGGGGCAACGAAGGGGAACGGGGGGGCCACGAAAGGCTGCAACGAGGCCACGAAGGGCTGCAACGGGGTCACGAAACAAAGCGAGGGGGCCACGACGGGCTGCAACGGGGCCACGAAACAAAGCGAGGGGTCCACGAAGGGCTGCAGCGGGGCCACGAAGGGCAGCGAGATCCCGATTCCTAAGCAATCTGCGAGGGAGTCCCGAAGCGTGAGCGCGGCTCCCGGGAGCCTGGGTGTCGGGAGCGCGGCGCTTGAGTAAAGCGCAAGAAATTCCAACGCAAGGGCGCCAGTCGTCAGCAATTTGCAAACAAATCTCTAGCGAGAGCGCGACTCCAGAGCGCTGGGCGAGCGATTCCTTAATAAATCGCAAGGAAGTCCCAAGGGAGAGCGCGATTCCTGAAGAAAATGCAAGGAAGTCTCGGGCGGGAGCGGGGGTCCTGGCAAAATTGTAGGGAAGTCTCAGGCGGGAGCCGTTGTTGTTGTAACCCGGGGGCCAGCGGCACGGTTTGAGCATCAAGACTTTCCCTGTCAAAAAACAGTGTGCGAGCGTCGAGGGGCATACTTTGATTAAGAAAAAACAATATGCACCGGTGGGGGGATCAACAATATTTATTCTTCAGGTATGAGAGTTCAACAACTAAAACAACAAAAACAAAAACAACAACAACAACAACAACAACAACAACAACAACAACGAAAACAAACACAACAACAACATCAACCACTACAACAACAATAGCGGCAACAACAACAACAACGAAAACAACAACACCAACAACAACCCCACCAACAACAACAACCACGAACACAACAACGAAAACAACAACAACACCACCACCACCAATAACAACAAGAACAACAACAACAATAACAACAAGACCAATAGCAATAACAATAACACCACCAACCACAATAACAAGACCAATAACAATAACAACAACAACAACAACAACAACAACAACAATTACTAGCACGTGGGGACACTCCGTTCTCACCAGTGCCAGGGTTTTCATAGGAGGCGGGCAATACCCCCACTTTGTGGGGGGGCCGGTTCAAGCTCTACCAAATTTCCAAACGACTCTTCGCCACCACCCACACCCAGCTTCCCGCCCTATGACGTTCGGACACTTCACTTCGTGGCATGCGGACGACCGTGGCTACTATTCAGGGCCCCGCGGCCGACGACGACGGCGTGCGCGCGCGAAGAAAAAACGAATGTGTCCCGCATGGTATTATTTGACAGGGATGATGGCCCTGGCAGGTGCGCAACCGTTGTCGCAGAAGTTCGAAAAAGTTGCTCGCAAAAGCCCGTTTGACAGAAATGTTTAAAAAGTGTTGGGTTTCCTACGAATCCGCAAGAGCGCGCGGGATGAGATTTTGACATTTTTTGTTGAAAAACCATTGGTTTTTTGATGTTTTTATGTTAAAATCGCTGCGAACACTAAGGTTTTGGAAGGATTTCGTCTTGCGCGCGCGAATGTCCACTTTACCTTATTTTTTGCAAGGGATTCTTGAAATTTGATTATATTAGAACAAGAAATGTCATTTTCTATTGTTTTTTGCAAGGGAAAGCGGATTACAACAAAACAACCGGATCCTGTACACACCCTCTTTTCTGAGGCTTCCTCACGAAAATGATGAAAATGTAGCTGCGGCCTAGGCGGCGCAGGGGGGGCGCGCACCAGGGGGCCCAACAATAATTATTCTTTAGAATAAATAATGTTCAACAACAGCAGCAACAACAACAACAACCACAACAACAACAACAACAATAACAACGCAACACGCAAAATTATCACCCCGAATTCCGTATGCAACCACGCACCCAGGGACAATGAATGACCGTTCGGCCCCCTCACTCTGACGACAAACCAGCTGCAGGCGCCGATGTTTTGTTAAAACAATGTGGGTAGGTCGCGGGTGGGTCGCGGGTGGGTCGCAACTGGGATGCGGCTGGGTCGCAGGTAAGTCGCGGTTGGGTCGCGGCTGGGTCGCGGGTGGGTCGCGGGTGGGTCGCCAGGTGGGTCGCGAGGTGGATCGCGGGATGGGTCGCGGGTAGGTCGCGGGTGGGTCGCGGGCTGGGTCGCGGGTGGGTCGCGGGGTGGGTCGCGGGGTGGGTCGCGGGTGGGTCGCGGCTGGGTCGCGGCTGGATCGCGGGGTAGGTCAGGGGTAGGTCGCAGGGTGGGTCGCGGGTGGGTCGCGGTCGCGGGGGTCGCGGGGTGGGTCGCGGGGTGGGGTCGCGGGTTGGGTCGCGGGTGGATCGCGGGGTGGGTCGCGGGTGGGTCGCGGGTGGGGTCGCGGGATAGATCGCGGGGCGGGTCGCGGACTGGGTCGCGGGTGTCGCGGGGTGGATCGCGGGGTGGGTCGCGGGTGGGTCGCGGGGTGGCTCGCGGGGTGGCTCGCGGGGTGGGTCGCGGTTGGGTCGCGAGTGGGTCGCGGTGTGGATCGCGGGGTGGGTCGCGGGTGGGTCGCGGGGTGGCTCGCGGGGTGGCTCGCGGGGTGGGTCGCGGTTGGGTCGCGGTTGGGACGACGACAACAAACAACAACAACAACAACGCAACAACGCAACAACGCAACAAGCAGAATCCCCACCGCGGGTCCCCACTTGAGCCACGCACCCAGGGACAATGCATGACCGTTCGCCCTTCGGCCCCCTCACTCCGATGTTGTTCCCATCTTCCTTCAGGACCACATCCCCAAAGTAACTCTGAACACCCAGAGAAATATCGAAACGGTGTCGAACGCGTATCGCCCCACAGGGCCCGAAACGTGGGCAGCATCCGACCTCGGCACTCTCCTGGTGCTCGAGACCCTCCCCGGCGATCAGAGCTGAGGCAGGTCGGGGCCTCCCAACCTGAGGGCCCCTTCTTGGAGCCAGCTGGGGGCCAAGAGGGGCCCCACGTGGCCTCCTCGGGGCCTCTCTTTTCCTCCCCCCCCCCCCTCGGGGCCGCCCCCCGCCATCGGGGATCTTCTGACCCGGGTCAATCCAGACCCGGGTCAGCAGGAAACCAAAAACTGCAATGCAGAAGAAAAAAACTGCAACGCAGGTCTTCGCAAACCCGGGTCAGCCCATAGGCGCGGCCGCCTCGCGGCCACGAGCGGCTCGCTGACCCGGGTCAGCCAGAGGGGGTCTTCGCAGGATCCTGCAGGATCCAGCGCCCTGGCTGACCCCCGTCTGCACTGACCCCCGTCTCGAGGCTCTCGACGCCACCGCCCGCCCGCGCCTCCGGCGTGCGGCCCGCCTCCGCGCCCCCGAGCTTGCTGTAGCCCGAGCTCCCGGAGGACCTGGCGGGATCCGGCTCGGCGGCGCGCAGGGGCGGGGGACGGGGCGAGGGAGGGGGGGGGGAGGGAGAGGGAGGGGGGGGGGGGAGAGGGAGGGGGGGGGAAGGCTGCCCACGAGCGGGCTGCTCCTTGGCTCTGGGCGCCCGAGGTGGGTACGGACAACATGGGTGCAGTGCCCAACAACACACGTCGCCCCAAACCAGCAGCGGCCGCTGTTGGGCAGGCGGCCTTCTGTCTCGAATGGAAACAGGCCGCGGCGGCGTGGACAGCGAGTCCTGTTCAAAATTAACAGGAACTGCTGTTCGGCTTTGTGCCTATTCTTTGCGTACCCATTTCGATCGTGCCGATTGGCAGGCGCGGGCCTTACGTCTGCAGATAAAACCGGCGCCTTCTGAGCAGCAGACTCCTTCTGAGAAACTCTCCCCCTCGCCCAGCTCGCCCAGGCCCCCGTGAGTGCCTCGAGACCAAGGGACAGTCGGGGGCCACGCAGACCCAGACGGGACCTGGCCGCTCCCTGGGTGGCTGCGAGCTGAGCAGCTGTCGCCACTTTCGTGGGCTTCTGGGAGGTCCAGCGGAGTCGGGGGCCACTCGCACCCAGACAGGATCTCGCTGCTCCCTGGGTGGCTGCGAACTGCGCAACGGTCGCCGCTTTCGTCGGCTCCTGGGAGGTCCGGTGGAGTCGGGGGGCACGCGCACCAAGAGGAGACCTCGCGGCTCCCAGCGAGGCTGCCACCTGCACAACTCTCGGGATCTCCGTGCGCACGAGTGCTGCCTATCTCTCTCTCTCTCTCTTTCTCACTTTTTGTTTTCTCTCTCTCTCTCTCTCTTTCTCTTTCTCGCTCTCTCTTTTTTGTTCTCTCTCTCTCTCTCTCTCCCTCTCCCTCTCTCTCTCTCTCTCCCTCTCTGTTTTCCCTTGTGAAGAGCACTCCTGCGAATAGTCGCCTTGTGTGGCGAAGGGGGTGGGTACGTCTCGGGCGTGGCTTCGCCCCATTTCGGGACCCGACGCCCTCACGGGTCGATCTGGCCTGAGAGATGCAGACGGGATCTAGGACTCCGGCAACGATGTCTCACAATATGACCCCAGATTTCGTAATAAAGGAAGGGGGGTCTCATTTCAGGGGGGGGGGTCTCTTCCAGGCTATCTTGGAGGGCCTGGGGGGGTCTGGGGACGATGTCTTGAAGGGTTCTCCCACGGGGGAGGCGTGAAATGGCCTGTCTTGGAGGGTCCAGGCCCCCTCCCTTTTAGCACGACATCTGGAGTAGTATGTTGTTCCTCGCGGGGTCGGCTCTCAGGGCCCCTCCTCCCCATCAGGAGAAGCCACGGATGCGGGTCCGAGGGCCCTCGGGAACGCCTCCGCCTCCGCCGGACCCCGTCGGGACGCCTGGGCAGACAAAGCGGCCCCACGGGATCGCCACCTCGATGCAAGCATCATACGAGGGTAGGCCGAAGAACAGCTCGAACAAACACATAAGGGGAGCCTGACCGGGTTGGGGGGATTAATGATATATATATATATATATGTATATATATATATATGTATATACCCCCCCCCCCAAAAAAAAAAAAAAAAAAAAACGTCGCGGTGGCGACGGGAATTTTTATGACAGGATATGCAAGGTCTGAGCACGCCCCTGGGGAGACGACGGATCTCTCCCTGGGTGCGTTCTGACCAGAATTTCGAGGCGAATCCAGCGGTGGCGGCGAGGGCCTCCCGAGAGGATCATAAAAACAAGGGAAAGCGAGGCGAAGGATAGCGGCATGGGCACTTTTTCTTCCTCTCGGCCTCGCCTCCCTGCGCAGTCCTGCCCATTTCTCGCGTTCGCTGCTGGGGGCCAGGTGGAAATCACGAGGGCGTTCCGCTGCCATGTCGGTTGCGCCGAAGCGCCGTGTCCCTGCTAAAACTGTCGACAAGCCCCGTTGATGTGACAGGCCCCACCCCGACGAGACCTAACCTCAGCCAGGCCGTGTCCCCCCCAAACCTGGCAGGAATGCGCATATAAAGGCGGAATGGGCGACGAACGAACGCGGGTATTACGCGAGATGGCAAGGCGGCCCTACACGGTAGTTTCTGCGGGCCGTCAGTGCGGAACGCTACTTTGGAGATGAGGGCGCGTACGCGCGACATTATGCAGGCAGCTTACGCGCCGATGTCGGCGCAAGCGACCCGTTTTTTTGCTGGCGTCGCTCAGGTGAAGTGGAGGTACAGCTGTGTTCAATCACAAGCTCTTCGTCACCCTCGCTGAGGCCACCTTGAGACCAAGTACTGAGGCGCGCTGGCCCATGCAGACCAGAGTCAACTCTCGATCGGATCACATGGGAGCCCCTCCCCTTGATCCTTTCCCCGCCCTGTGGGGGTTATGGGTGGGGTAAGACCAACTGAATACAACAAGTCTGATCACACCCAGCGAGACATGGTTGAAGTTGCACGGCGGGGGGTTGCTGGACGTGTTCAACAAAATACTGCAGACGGATGCCGTCGATCTGAGCTGGCACGACACGTTATGTGTGATGCTCTCAAAAAAAGAACCAGAGCAAACCTAGCAATTGGCGGTCCATTGCCATATTGCGGGCAAATTAACAGAGATGTACAAAGTTTGTGCACGAACGGCTGAAAGGACACCTGGAACAAATCAGCCGCCTGACCAAGTAGGCTTCTGAAATGCTGGAGAACGTGTGCGGCAAATCTTTGGAGTGGAATGTAACATGTTGGGTCGCAAGCCTTGATCTAAAGAAAGCGTTTGACTGAACTGAAAATCCTGCTCTGTGTGAGGCTTTGCGCGGCCACGGCGTAAACCAGTCGTACGTAGCACGACTTGCGGCGCTGTACAATTACCAAGCGGGTCGCGTGCAAGGCTCGCAGCGCCTGGCTGATCAACAGCGGCGTCAAGCGGGGGGATGGCATCAGGCCCGTTCTCTTCAGCGCTGACCTGGACCCTGCACTCTCACGGTGGAAGCGTTATCTTAGCAATCGCGGTCGTGACGTGGGCCTCGCGTCCAGCAAGCAGCTCACCAAAGTCCGGCACGCCGAAGACCTCACTGTTTTCTCTGTATCCTGCAGCGAACCGTGCGAAACCAAGGCGCTGAGATTTGTTGGGTTGGTTTGCACCTCGATGCTTCGACGACAAAGGTCTTGACGACGGAGGACCTTGTGGCGCCGCCTTATGTCGAGATCGGCGGGAGCATGGTCGAAGTTTGGTTTGGGGACAATGCTCACGTGTAGTTGGAGCGGAAACTGCGAGGGTCTTTCCGGCAGCGTGCTGACGTCGAGTTGTCGCAGCGGTTCCACGCCGCCTGGAGCAAGCTCCAAGAGCGTAGGTGCAGTCTCACAGACAAGCAAACTTCCACCCATCGCCACCTCAAGCTCTTCGATTCGGTCGTGACGCCTACAGTGGTGTTTTGTTTGCCAACACTTGCTCTGACGACGCGCCAGAAGGAGCAGTTGGGCGTTCTTCAGCCACGCATGCTGCATCTGATTGTGGGCTGGGTGCGGATTGGCGGCGAGGATTGGAACATCACGATGCGCAGAATGAACACCCGGATTTAGAAAACACTAAAAACTTACCCAGTTCAGAGCTGGCGGAAGCGGCTGGCCCGTCTCCAATACAGCTTCGCCAGCCAGCTTTGGCAGAAACACTAGCTGGGCGCACCCTTTATCAAGTTGGAGCCCGCCCGCCACCTGTGCTAGCACGGCGGGTGAGAGGACGCCCAGCATGTCGTTGGGACGATGTCTTACAAAGGTACTCGCTTGCACAAGTTGGAGAATCATGTTTCGTCGCTGTTCAAGACCGAAGGAAACGGCGTGCGCAGGCTGCAGGGTACGAGCAACAATCCTGAGATCAACTACGCATGCAAATTTCCAACGCCCCACGGTGAATTCGTTCCTCTCAGCCCACGCCCGGGCCTTGCTTCTGCTAGGCCGCTCTCTGACCGATCCGATTCGACCGGGACTTGCTGGCGTGCGTGCCGCGGGGAGAATGCCCCCCCGCCCTCCGAAGCTGAAGCCAGCGCGTCGACGTGCACGAGCGGGGAGGCATAGAGCAGCCGGGAGCCCAGCACGCCCGTCAACGTTCATGGGCGGCTTAACCTTAGAGTAGTTGGCCACCGCCTCTCAATGTTGCAGAGGCCGCTCGTCGTGGTCGCGTCAATGAGGGAGCCCACAAAGGACGCACGCGCCCAGCTATGTTCAAGGGGCCCACAAACACACAAATAAATACACACAAATAAAATGATTCCCCATATTTTTCAATATTTTCTGTTTTTTTTGTCTTCCCCCCCAATTACCATATTTTCCCATATTTTCCTGGGAGTCGACGATTAATTGTGTCTGTGTGTTTCTTTCCCTCCTGATATGTACATGAACACGGCCCCTCGATCTGCGAGACCGGCCGCCTGATACGAACTTCCGGGCAATGCGTACTCTCGAAACCAGCGTGGATTCATGTACGTGTACGTCCTTCTTTCGCTCCTGATCAATTGCGTCTGGCCTTGTAGCGGTGGGGAGCCGAGGCGACAAGGGGGGCAAGACTGAACTGGATCGAATCGAGACATCGGGTCCGAAACGGAGCAGATCGCGCCTGAGTGAATGGTCGCGGGATCGGAGTCGCGGGCTTTGGCTGGGCCTCTGAAAGGCGGCGCGGGCAGGCGGCTCGCGCCGGGCCGGCTCAGAATCCGAATCGAAAATCGGGGATGGAGTCGGATGGAATCGGCCCGAACGGTGGGCAGCCCTGGAAGGCCCCCGGTGACTTCCCGGGGCCAACTTCCCGGGGAGCCGCGGGCGATCTTCGGACTCGCTGTCTATTCTCTTCGCACCGCTGCAGCTGCCGGGCTCCGCGGCGAGCGGCCCAGGGCCGCGTCGGCGGCCGCCGCAGAGCGGGGTCCCCGACGCCCTCCGCAGCGAGCAGAGCAGACACACGCAGGCGTCAGGCGCCTTGTGCCTCCCGTTGGGGGGTCATATGTGCGATAGCTTGGGGCCAGCAGGGGGCCCAAGATGGAACAATGCTGG